AGCTGGGGTTGATTCGTAAACCTGCATCATTCATGACTAGTATCTGTGACGAAAGGGGCCAGGAGCTCATATATGCTGGTATGCCCATCACAGAGGTGTTCAAAGAGGAAATGGGCCTAGGAGGAGTACTGGGCCTGCTGTGGTTTCAGAGGAGGTTTGTTATGTAAAATTCCTTCATTTTGTAGAATATTCATATGAATTGACTGAAAAACTATCTGTGTTTGTCAACTTGCATGATGTATGGTTTTGGCTTAAAATCATGAGTACATGTGTGTTTTTGACAGATTACCACTTTACGCATGTCATTTCATCGAGATGTGTTTGATGGTGACTGCAGATCATGGGCCGGCTGTATCTGGTGCTCATAACACCATTGTGTGCGCTCGTGCCGGTAAAGACCTGGTGTCCAGTCTGACCTCTGGACTTCTGACAATAGTAAGATCAGTCACTGTACACGCAAGACTGCTGCTTTCCAAACTAAACTGGTTCTGCTACAGTACAGCAAGAACGAGAGTTCACTAGCCTCATATCAAATATGAAATAAAAGCAAACAGAGTCTGGCTGGGTTTGATTTGGATGATATTTGTTGATATCTGTTGTTGATTTTCAAGTAATATTACAATCATTAAATATTAAGAAAACATAATATATTTAGTGATTATTATATGTGATATTTACCATTTATATGATGAGAAACAGTTGAAAAATATGCTTGTTTATTCTCCTAATTTTTTAAAGAGAAACTGAATTGCGTGTTTCTGTTCTGCAGGGAGATAGATTCGGTGGTGCACTAGACGCAGCTGCTAAACAGTTCAGTAAAGCGTTCGACAGCGGCCTGCTGCCCATGGAGTTTGTCAACAAGATGAAGAAAGATGGTGTACTGATTATGGGCATCGGGCATCGAGTCAAATCAGTAAATACACACACACACACCGATAAACACACTGCATGAGACTTGATTAGTTATATCAGGAATATTAAAGGCACAATATTTAAGATTTTCGTAATAAAATATCCAAAAACCACTTGCACAGTGTTATATATTTCATGCAGTTGTGCACTTACGTTATCCCAAAAATTCCCAAGGATTTGTAAATCCAGAGAAATTCCAATTTTAAATAGCTCGCCCCAGTTCATTGTCGCCTATCAATGATGTAATATCCATGCTATCGGTTTCCGCTTTTAGAAAATATGGCAACACGCGTGGACAAAAATGCTGCTGTACAGTTAAACTAAATCCATTACGGCTGTCGCGGATCAAATGAAAATCAAATAAAAAGTGTTGACAGGAGCATTAAATTTAGATCTGCTCAATGTTGCACCATGATTCTTTTTCCACGTTTTTACAATGTTGCACATTAACCAATCACACATGAGCTTGTTAATGCAGTGGCCAACCAGAGGCGTTCAGATGAGTTGTCACTGAAACGCCAGAGTTTTGTTGTTCAGTGTGCCTGTACAGTTAAACTAAATCCATTACGGCTGTCGCGGATCAAATGAAAATCAAATAAAAAGTGTTGACAGGAGCATTAAATTTAGATCTGCTCAATGTTGCACCATGATTCTTTTTCCACGTTTTTTACAATGTTGCACATTAACCAATCACACATGAGCTTGTTAATGCAGTGGCCAACCAGAGGCGGTCAGATGAGTTGTCACTGAAACGCCAGAGTTTTGTTGTTCAGTGTGCTGAATTCTCTCATCATAAACAACAAAGTGCAGATGTACGTATGATGTAAGTAGGAGATTCATTCATCAAACAGTGTACAGCTTTACTGATTATAAGGGGAGTTATTTGAGAGTGCTTACACTCGCACTAGACTTAAGTCTGTCATACTGTTCCTTGACGGTGTAAATGTTCTTTGCTCGCTTTCTCTGTATAATTTATTTGCTGTTTGAATCATTTTTGAAAAATTTATTCATTACATCCGTGAACATGATTCGGACATCTCTGGATGGGGAAAAAAACATCTCCCATCGTTCCACTCTCCTTAATAGCTTCATCAAGCTTTGCCTTTGTTATTGTTTTGAAAATGCGACCTCTATATTGTGCCTTTAAGACAAAAATCTCACACCAATCAAGTTAGAGTGGGAGAAATTAATTAATGTTGTATCTTAATTTTATATTGTTACTCATTTTTTATCTTTCATGTTACACATGACATGACATGGACAAATTTCTGTGTCCATAATATCTGAGTCTAAGTTCGAGTACAAATTTACCCGAATGTGTATAAAGTTCATTCATATTTTCACTGGACTTGAATCAGAGTCCGGCATTGAGTACCCAACTCTGTTATTGATTACTGCATGCAACATAATTAAAAAATTTCTAGGGGTGTATTGAAACACTTGTTTTTTTCCATACCATAAACCAACCAAATGCATCATAAAAGTAGTTCATACAGTCCAATTCAAACAATAGATTTGTACGAGCGACAGACCAAAATTTAAGTACATGCAATATTAATCAAGCTGAGGTGGCCAAATATTTATCAGATTTGGAACCACATTTGAAAGTAGCCCAAATTGAATCTTATATGTTGCTGTTTACACGTATGCATACATGTATCATTAAATGCATACTGAAATTACAGTCATACTTGCAATACCACATTTTAAGGCAGAATTTTCAGTTGTCATGTTGTCTTATGTCCTTTCATTCATTAACTATGCAATTCATACACAATTATTTTAATAAACCTGTTGTATGATGAGCATGATTTTAAGGAGGCATCAAGTAAAAAAAAAGTCAGCTGTCCTAATCATAATGAAGGAAAAATGTTATTAAAAGATTGAAATATTTGGAAAAAAAATCAAGTAGTTTGGCATACTCTTTTATTATTACTTCTTAGAAAAAACAATTAACAATAACTGCTCATTTGAAAATCTTTTGTCGGCCAAATTAAAGTCATGGTCAGCAAACAAGTAGAAAAAAAACTAAACCGGAAATTATGTCATAGAGAGGACCTCTGTATACCCTTATGACTGTGTCATAGTCAGTAAGCCTATTAAAATATCAGATAATTTGGTCGTTTAAGGAAATACAAGGTTAGTTTGGATATTAAAATGGCATGTGGTGTGACTCCCAAAATGATCTGTTGCAGGCAAGTTGCAGATAAATTATTGAAAAGTACTGGCAGCCCTTATTCTCATTTCCATACACAGCTGTTGATATGTTGTATATGTTCATATCTGGGTTTCTTGGTGACAGATCAATAACCCTGATATGAGGGTGCAGATCCTGAAGGACTTTGTGAAGCAGCATTTCCCATCAACACAGTTACTGGACTACGCCCTTGAAGTAGAGAAGATCACCACCTCGAAGGTGATGTTATTACTGATGCCATTTTAATGCATGTATGTTTTGTTGTGTGATCGTTTCTTCATGTGATGCTCACATTACAATGTCTTTCACGCTCTGCAGAAACCGAACCTTATTCTAAACGTTGATGGTTTTATTGGTGTGGCTTTTGTGGACCTCTTAAGAACATGTGGAGGATTCACACGGTAAGTCAAGAAGACTATTGTTTTTAAATATATGTGTTTAATTTTATGGATTGGACTCCATTTCCCATTTCCTTATTTCCAGCACCAGGGCTCACATAGTCATAGAGAACAGAAATATCTAGGAGTTTTAAAATGTGATTTCCATTGGGCAATCGCTTGGATTCACAGGGCTTAGGACAAAATTATTTGACAGTTGCAGTGCAGATGTGTGATTTTGATTTTCAGAAGAGTCTGAGATTGTTGATTTCTAGGGCTGCCCTCGACTAAAGATCTTTCTGATCAACTAGTAGTCATTCGTTTTAAGCGATTAGTCGACTAATTGCACATTTATATAAACCATATAAATAAACCATATAATTCATAATAATGAGCCTTTAATCTATCAGCGCTCAAGTGCTGGCATAAAATTTGCCACAGCATGCTGGCAGAAGTAATGATTATGAATGCGTCAGGGGGGAAAAACAGCAAGAAGACTGACTTAGCATTATGATAATTCATTGATAAACTAGTGTTTTCTGTATTTTACAGAGTATTTTAATTTAAATGCAAATGATCGCACCGGCGCCTCCAAGTTAACTGTCATGCAGTGAGCGCGCTACTATTCAGCTTCCACGCTCACAAACACTTGAATAGTGTACACTTAGGTTAACTTTAGAGCAGCCATGTAATGATGCTACTACTTACATGTTTCAGATGATAAGCCACATTTGAGGTTGATGAACGAAACGAACGTTTGCATGTCTTGACCGATGTATTAATAGACCAGCTGTTAATAATCTGTCTGTCAAGGAATAAGTGACTTCGCCACTTTCTGTGGATTTTTTTTTTCTGCAACTAATACAATTTTGATCAACTAAGCCTCTTCTCGTCAACTAATGGTTAGTCGACTATTAGGGGGCAGCCCTATTGATTTCAGATGTCTGAAATCCAAATGTCTGGTGTGTCTAGTGTTCATTCTTTATATGCAGAGTATATTCTTCACTAGTTAATTTGACATTTATTGAATGTCATTGTACAGATCATGTATCTAAATTGCAATCGAGTATGTTTATGCATTGCAGGGATGAGGCAGATGAGTTTGTTGAGATCGGGACTCTTAATGGAATCTTCGTTCTGGGACGCAGCATTGGTTTCATCGGTATACCACTGAATTACTCTTTACTGTTCAGACCCAGTCCCACCAGTTCTAAAACTGAATATCTGCTGGAAAAATAACCTCTATTACCCAAAATGTCTGCTGTTAATTTCTGTTTTTGAATTGAGATTGTTTTAAATTGTTTTCCATTTTGACTTCACCAAGAGACACATATATATTTGTGTGAAAATTGCATTGAAAATTGAGGAAGTATATATAATTTGTGTGTGTCAAGCAAGTTATTAATTTAATTAATATTTGTTTTTACTGTTAATCCCACAGGTCACTATCTGGACCAGAAACGTCTGAAGCAGGGTCTCTACCGCCACCCGTGGGATGATATCTCCTACGTTCTTCCTGAGCACATGTCTATGTAAACCTGGAACCTGTTATAAGTATTTTGGATAAATATGTGGGAACATGTTTATTTTATTACTTTATCATAGTGGGAAGGGGTAAATTATTCAGTCATAACCAAAGAAACACACTAGCAAAATACTGACAAATAGTAGTTGCTAACGCTCATGTTAAAGTATGACAGTTCTCAGTTGAATTTATAAAACGGTTGCTTATAAAGCAAGCTTCATTTGTATGGTACAGTGTCATTGGCCATCTTATATTACTAACACTTCAATGCACCTTCCTTTGCTTTGGTTATGATTAACAAATGAAGTATCATGTCTCTTCAGGCTGCCAGTTCTAATAGTCTGAATGAAGACACCACAGCCTGTAGATGCAAAGCACCAAATTCTAAAGCATACTCTCAAATGATACCTGTTATGAAATGTTAGCGTATACACCCTGAACCTTGAGTAAGCAAAGTGGAGGTTCATACTATAACATTCATCACTATCTGGGATAAATGACTGCAACAGAAAAGTGAAACTAAATTAGCTTCTATGGTGTTGTTTTTATGTGCAAAATTCTAGTATTTTTAAAATAAAGCTCTTTATTGGTTATGTTGGACAATTTTCATATGTTCTGCAGCATTCACAATTGGTCAAGGGTAATCTCTTTAATGCAAAAAACACTATGGCATTAAGTGCATATCAGAATAATCTAAAATGTTGTGAGTGAAGTTACTGATTCTATCTTCACTAACAAATTGATGCCTTGCAATGAATTGGAGTCGTCGACATGCTGCATTTACAGAGGACTTGTTGATGCTTGTGAAGAAATGGATACAGCTAAACAGGGCAACCATCTAGGGTTTACAGAGATTGGGCCAAAAAAAGAGAAAATATCTGGTGAGCAGCAGTTCTTTGGGTGGAAATGCCTTGTTGATGCCAGAGACCAGATCAGACATTTTGTCAGCTTGTCAAATTGTGGCTTACCCTGGAGACACTTACAAGTAATGTTTCTCCAGACCTATTTTTTGAGTCAAACTCTCAGGAACATTTTTCATGTTATTACCATGAATGAAATTGAGAAATGTTGATCTTATTTGAAGTGAAATTTACATAAAATGTTGCTATTTTATATAAATGTATTTCAATTATTACAAATTGAGGCAAATTAAAAAACAACACTATAAGCCCCTCCAACGTTATGTTTTGGGTTATGACAGTAAACTCACCCTCAGTCCTCATGATCTCACCCTCAGTCCAGCTGTCTCAGGAGATGTGATGCACTCGCACTTGCTGTGGAACCGAGTGGTTCCAACTTAATTAGAAAAAAAGAACAATAAATGAACACTGCTACTTTAGTTACAATATACAGTAATTAACAGGTAACACCTGAAGCCCTCTATAATAGACATACATTGATCAGCCACAACTTTAACTAACACCGCCTCTGCAGCCTGCCTTCGCATTCTGTTGCCATCTCTTCCATTTATGCAGGTAAACAACACAAAAAAAACATGATTCATTAGATCAGGTATCAGTCTTCCACTGCTCTAAATTTCATTTCTGATTCTCACGTCCCCAGATGCTTTCCACGGTGAAGAGGTGTCATCGTGAGACTAGTTTTATTTTGCTGAAATTCATGTAAATATTTCAGAGTCAATGTGGTCTTTGTAAATACCTGTTCATGTTAAGAGTGTTACAAAGTGTTCTGAGTGTTAGAAAGCTATATAATCATTGCTCATTTTCCACTTAAGAAAAGGTGTATCATTAAATTGTCAGCAGGTGTTTTAAAAATGTATTTTATAGGCTAATCAAAAAAAAAAAAATGTAATGTATGTAATTTAGAATTAAATAACCCAGATTTTTCTTCTTTTTTTGTTATTTCCTATGTTAATATTTGCGCTTGAAGCAGAAGTGAACCATGTGTTCATAAGTTCTGGTGAAAATGTCCATATTCACTGTAATAATGCTGATCATTCTGATTGGCATTCTTATTCTGTTTGGTTTAGTGAACCAGTGCACAAGAAGAAAAATTAAAGCAAGCAAACCACAAAGTCAAGAGGGCACACGCAGGGGGGCTCTCTAATTTTATATGTTCATCTGTGTTCCAATACAAACATTTTCATGATGACATGACCACATGGAATAAAGAAAGTCATGAAGACCAACTAATCAACATGATTCATATTCAAACCAGTAAACAAGTTCTGCTTTGTTTACATTAGAGATTTAAAAAAATACATGAAAATGTAAAATAAAAATGCAAAATACCTACCTAAAATATATATTAAAAAAATGAAATACAAAAACATTTTAAAATGGCAATTCAATACTATTAGGCTGAAATCATTCCTATTTCTAATCTTTCCTAGACCTATTCTGAATGCAAACATTTTACAACTATTTAGGTTGTTTTCATTTGTCCTTCCTTTTCCTTTTCCTTACCCAATAGGAAATAAGACAAAAAAAACAAAAGCTGAATTCGTTCATGACAGAGTAGCTTGTAGCTGGCTGCAAACTAATTTCACGCATTGTATTGACTGGCGAGAAGTATTCTAGCTACCTGAATATTTTAAAGGAAATTATCATTTTAATGGAAATAACAGTTTTATTATGTTGTTATTATGCAACAAGTAGAATCAACCATAACACCTTCTGTGATGGGCTGGCCATCTCTAGGGATTTTCCCTGCCTTCGGCCCCAGATGCTGGGACAGGCTCCAGCATCCCTGCACACACAAGCGGTTTGGAAAATAGATGGATAGACGATTCATTGTTCATGAAGTCATAATTTCATTCTGTAGTGCTAAATTGATAAAATTGTTAAATAGTGCTTAATTGCATGAAAATTTGGGTTGGCACAAAGTATTTTTTCAAAGCCTTTAAAAACAGTATATTTGTATTATATGTATCTGAAATGTTAAAAGCTTGAGGGGTTTTGAACGTTTTAAGTGTATGATCAAATAACCATTTATTTTAGCCTGCAATTTACAACACACTGTAAAACAAATAATTTTGATATTTTGCCATTTCAACTCATTTTTTGTAGACATAGGATAACTAATTTTTTTTATAAATTGTCCAGACAACAAGAAAATGTAAGTTTCAGCCCCCAACTAGCTGAAAGTAGCATGAAAACCTGAAAAACGCATGTTGAAACAACTGCATCACACCGAAAAAAAAATGAAGATAAAAAAATGTTTAAGGTAGCGGGGTAACAAAAGTTTTTTTAAGTTGAGTCAGCAAATTGTTTTTTTACAGTGCAGTAATATTTTTGTGTTCATGTTTATAATTTGAGTCAATACTACTACTACTAATAACAGGCCTAGTAATAATAAAGACCCTAAAAAGAGTTATTCTAGTCATTCTTGAGACATGGGACAAAACAGGTCCAGCGAGGGTAACTGCTATTAGGTTTAAAAAGAAAAATATTTTCAATTTTAGAAAAAGAGGTTGTTTTATCAAAAGCAACACTTAATAAAATCTCCTATCAAAGCAAGGTTGTTTTTTAATGACACATGCATGTTTAATACGATTTTAAAGTTTCGTCCCCACTTTTTGTCAACACCGTCAGACATTCAACAAAATGTAATAAAATCAGGGAATATCAGGGGCAGCTGTCACTCTAAAGGACCCCCTTGCCACATTCCTCCTCTGCAGAGTACATCAGTGTCAGACAGGCTCTGCTAAGTTTTAGTTTTAGAATATTTTAAATCCTAATGTTAATATTTCCTTTGTCACAGCCATGATATGTCAACACCATCTTCCAATTTCTGAGGAAATTATTTGAAATATTTAGATAATTTTATTCTCCTGAAGCAGGTTCCATTAGCATCTAGCATCAACAGAAAAAAAGAAAATGGCTACTACATGAACTCCATTGGTTTTGTGAAAGAAATGCCAAATTTGTCAACACCGTCAGATGTCACCACCATAAGATTTTGTGTTCCAATGATATATCAAAATACTTAAATGTGACTCTTGAATAAAAGCTTTATAAACAATAACATACTCACTGTTTGTAGTGTTTGTTTTAATACAGTAATTGACTGATTCAATGTATTTGATAGTTAAAATGACTACAAATTCAGGTTTTTGTCAACTCCGTCAGATGTGTCAACTCCGTCAGTTCTGTCACCTCCGTCATTTGAATATTTTGATAATATTTCATTATGATATTTTATATTTGTTGTGGAATTGTTGGTCACATGTGAAAGTGTAATCTGTCTGCTAACACGAGAATGTGTTTTGAAATGTTAAAAACATCTTGAATGCTGTTAAAGATAAAGCTGAAATTATATTACACAGTCCAAGCTAAAAAAAAGCACATTTTGTTAAAAAAGAGAAAAGGTGGGAGGTTGTATCAAAGCATAGCTCAGTAGCTTAGTACATATAAGATACATAAATATAGTTTCATTTGTCTGAGTACACGGTTTTATTTTTTCAATTTTGCACCGTTTTGTCCCACTTCTCAAGAATGACTGTTACATTATGACAAAATAATTGCAATAATTTTCGACCAAGTTGTGCAGCCCTGTATATATAGGTAGGTGAGTTTGATCAGGGTTGGAGCTAAACTCTGCAGCGCATTGACCCTCCAGGGCAAGATTTGAGGAACCCTGCTCTAGTACCTATTTATTTTTATAAAATGTTCACAATTTAGCTTAGCTTCAGCCCATTTCTTTACATGAATATGATATTTCCCAATTAAAATAATTAGTTGTTTAAGAAAAGGAATTGTACTTTTAGAATCAACAGTATTGTAGAAAAACAAATATGACATCATACATTTCAATTTGTATTAATGTTCCAAACATCCTACAAATGAGTTAGAGACATCTATCCAAAATAATCTTGAGTATACACACTGAAAAAAAAGACGAATCACAGATTCTTTAACAACACCACAAAAGTCACAAGAGTTTTCCCTATCCAAATCGAACCGTTAGTAGTCCTTATTGAAATATGCCATTCGTGACGTGGTTTATGCAATAATTACGAGCTGAATGTAGGCCTACATCCAACAGTGGGGTTCAAGTCTGACAGTGACACAATTGTGTATTTTATTTTATAACACATTTCTATGCTATTTCAAACCAATATGATGTTTTTATGTTATTTCTTTATTTATCTGTTCCCAGATCAGCAACTCGTGTCTCGCGTCAGTTCCTGTAACGTCAACAGGACTCCTGCGGTGTATGGTGCTTGTGCGCATGTGCATGTTGAGCGCTGTTTATGTTGGAGTGTGTATGTTTGAGTGTGCTCCACCACCTCAACATACTACGCACTTTACGAACCGACCGCGCGGGCACCGAGATGGCCGCAGCCGCCCCGAATCCAGAGGACGCCATCCGAAACAGCGGCGGGCCAAGCACGGCGAGCGCTCTCGCGGGAGACGGAGAGTCTGAGGAGGCCGAGGAGTTTGCCTCCGCGACCCACTGCTCGGAGCTCTCCCGGCGGCAGAACGAGCAGCGGAAGCTCGGGCTTTTCTGTGACGTGACGCTGGCGTTCAGCAGCGCCCCGGGAGGCGCCAACAGCTTCGAGTTCAGCGCCCACCGCTCTGTCTTAGCTGCGGCCACGGATTATTTCACGCCGCTACTCGGGGGTCAGTTTTCGGAGTCGGTGACGCGGCGTGTGGAGATGAAGGAGTGGAGCAGCGAGGCAGGCCTCGACCAGGAAACGGTGGAGAGCGTCATCCAGTTCATGTACACGGGCGAGATACGAGTGAGCACTGCGAACGTGCACGAGGTTCTGGAGCTGGCAGACAGGTGAGAGAAAATCATGCAGATCATAGACTGTGTCAAAACACAGCGAGCAGCCTACCTAGACAGCATTGTTGGTATGTTTGATCACAAATAGCCTACACATTGGGCATCACATGCACCTTCAGAACAAACAGCGGTTTTGGCATCGTTGGGCATTATAGGCGTCGTTTGAGTCAAGCGCTTTGCAGCATTTTGGGGGTATCATGGGTACCTCCTGAATAAGCAGCGTTTCTGGACATCATAGGTAACATTTCAGATCGGCAGCATTTGTTGAGCATGGGTATGTTCTTAAACAGCAGCATTTTTAGACATCAAAAGCATACTCCAATTCAGTAGAATTAACGTTATAGGTGTGCCCACCATTTTGGG